CACACACACACACACACACACACAATCTCGAATTTGGATTTCTGAATTTCAAAATGTTTTTTGCTTCAAAATGTTTCCTGTTGGTCTTGTTTGGAATCGATCAGTTGAAATGGAACACAGAATAAATCTCTATCTCTGGCTCATTGTGCAATTAAGATAAAATTCCCATAAAATATATGTTTCTAATAAACTATTAAAAATAGCTAATGAAACATTTAAAAGCCAACAGTTAGATAATCCTTTCTTTCTCCTCAAAATAAATCTGAACTGACCAATTGGTTAATTTCCCTTTTAAGTGCGTGTGCTGAAAAGCAACTGTTCTTCCAAGAAAGCACTAGCTGTTTCCTGGATACTTACACACGCACAATGACTCATGATGGAATAGATTCAGTAAACATACAGCTGTACTGAACACGAGCTAAGCTCCATTCAAGGCCAGGAAAGAAAATGAGCACAAATAAATATTAAGGAGGTAAAGGGAGGGGGGTGGGGGGGTGGGGGGGGATGGGACGCAAGCAAGATCTGTCCCGGCAGCTCATGTGGCTTTGCCTCAATTCTCTTAGCCATAGCTTTGTGAAGACAGATGACATTCAATTCTATGTGTAATGCAAAATAGACAATAACTGCTGAAACTTGAGACAGCTGCCAGGTGTAAAAAAGAAAAAAAAAGAAGAAAAAAGGAAAAAAAAAAGAAAAGATGATAAATCCATAAATTAATGAAAGACATCTGCTCGGGAATATAAAAGATCAGAGAAGCAGGGTACAGCAGCTGAACCTAAAGTGGTGTCCAAACAACCTGAGAAGCTAAGTGTTGTCTGTTTACCAAGCACAATACAACCTTACCTAAACAGCCCCAGCGGGAGGAGCAGGAGGCAGGAAAGAGGCAAATAGAAAAATAATAGGTGGTGAAGGCTGGAGGAAGAAAATTCTCTTTTACCAAACTGAACTCTGGATTGCGGGACAATGTTATATATGTTGCAATTCCAAGGAAATGGACTGGGATTACTTATATTTTCTCAAATGCTTGGAAACCTAAAGAATTTTGGTTTCCTCCTTATTGTCTGATCTGCTATTTCCAAGAGGCTTCCTGTAGGAACCTGTTATGGGGAGGAAAGAGCTAAATTTCCTCATTTAATGACAGTAACAGAGCAAGTTGTTACTCTACTAAGAAGTTCAATGGAACCAGAGGGATGTGTAGTTTACACTGATCTCTTGGAAGACAAAAATTTTAATTATAATTTTTTTTCCCAGACATTGGGGAGACTAGGACCCACACTTTTTCAATCCTTACTTAATCTGTGTGTATCACTATCACTTAGAGAATCATTATGGATCCAGGCAATGTGTAAAAATGTAAAAAATCAGCTTCTGTGGATTTGTTTCATATTTTAGAAATTCATTTTTAATTCATGTTTCAGGTTGAATTTTAATTTCTTACCATTTAAACATTTTTTTTCTTCTAAATTTCAAGTAGTTTTAATATTCTTTCTAAAAGTCAAATAGGGGGAAGCTGACTGCCCCAGAGATCAAGCTCAATTTCTTCACCTGCACATCTTAATGGCTTATAATACTACTCTTGTGCTTTAATTGGGTGCATGCAAATGTTTGAGGCCTAAACAAGGCTATTTTTCTTGAGATGCAAAGAGGATGAATGACAAGGAACATCGTGAAGAAAAGCAATTGGCTGGTTGTTTCTTTGGGAATTTGAATAAAACTTAATATTTGATTAAATAGATTCATTTGCAAAGATACTGAACACATTTTTTTATATCCAAGACATGAGCTCTTTGACCAGGTGCATTGACTTTCAGTTTAACATGCACACATTCATGATTTCCTTCCTACCATAGGTGATGAGGTGGAGTGCTCTATTATTTAGAACATATATATTTAATGTGTTCAACTTAGGATGGATTCAGCTGATAAGCTGATGTTCTTAATAGTTTTTATCTTGGCTACTTTGTTTAAAAAAAAAAAAAAAACAGATGATGCCCTTTGGAGTAGAAAAGAATCATTCCTTAAGACTTAAATTATTTAAAACAATTTGGAAAACCATGAGCCAAAAATAAAAACACAAGAATGATAATCATGGTGGTACCATTTCATTCTACTTCTGGTTATTTCTATTGATCTTTCCTCAAAATAATTGTAAAAGGGATTCAAACATGGCTCGGTATCCCTAAAACTAAAGTTAAACACCACTTGTTATGATTCCGAGATTTCTTCAAACTAAGCTTGAAACTTTTTGTCTATAATCAAATAGAAAAAGGAGTTCAGAGAAAAGTACAATTTTGTCTATAATCAGGTAAAAGGTAAATCAAGGATAGAACTCATTGACATACAGTGATAGAGACAGGAGCAAAGTGAATCCAATCTGTCAATAAATAGATTCTCAGTTGTTCCAGAATTGTGGGGACCAGAAAAGGTGGCTTGTCTATCCTCTTCTTCCTGAGGAAAAAAAAAATCTACTAATAAGCTGACTAGTTAGGTGTACAATGTAATAGAGAAGGAGAAAAGCAGAGGTTAGTAGGCCCAAACATGGAAAATGTAACCATTAATTGCAACAAGAGGCCCAAAGCTTTCAGCCATAATGATACAAGAGAACAACTCCAGGCTTAAGCAGCTACATTCCATGTGATCATGGGTACTTCTCCCCATCATTGTTTAATAAAAATCTTATATTGGTAGAAATGGGAAAAGTTATCCCTATGCAGCAAAAGCAACTATATTTTCTTTACAGCCTTTGGTATGTAGAGAAATCGAAGAAACTTCTTTCCATTCAAATCCTCAAAATTCCTCAGGGGATTTAGAGAGACAATGAACATAGCTGACACTTAAAGCAATCTAAAAGATCTTTTTTTCCCCCCTAGAATACCAAACTAACTTAGAAAAATAAAAAGCACGGGCAAATTATAATTATCTGGTTATAACAAGAAGGCTAAGCTCTAAAAACTATAAACTGGCATCACAAGCAAGAGTTTATATTAGTATAGACTTATAGGACTGTGAAAACTGGCTTCAGATATTCATCAAAATGGGCATGCACGTTCCTTTATCCTTTACACTTGTGGGGGTAGGGAGAGAAAGAAACAACTCACTACTACACTCCTTGTTTCATAAGTTTAGGGCTCTCTTGAAGTACCATAGGGTCCAGCCCTACACGTCATCCTGGTAGGCACTTCAAAAGATCCTCTTCTTGGGAAGGGTGAAAAACCATTCAAGACATTGTGTTTCCTTACTTCACCCTTTTGCATCACCAACAGCTATATTCCAACCATGTGAACAAAACTTCATTGCCTGCTTATAACATAAAAATCATGGTGCTTCTTACACTTTGGCTTCATGACTGGCAGGTGGAATTTGAGCTTTTTGAGATACTGAAGTTAAATCAGTACCCAAGTCAAGACTCAAATCTAAGACCTCAATGACCCTCTCACAATGTTCTTCTCCTCTTCCTTGTATAGGGGGAGACTCCATGTTTACCTGTCCAAAGCATCTCAAACTTGTGGCTCCAATTCACCTTACCAAAAACTTCACCCCTATCCTGAGAGTTGGCTGGAGGATGACCAAAGAAAACGTATTTCTATCATAGCTGTATATGGCAGCCTCTGGAATGAGCTTAGATAATAAAATGTCAATCTCTAGTCATCAAGACGATTGCTCAAAATCCTCAGTTTTGTAGCAGCTAAGTTAATTGCTAAATTTTATATCCATCTGGTAACTTATTAAACAAGAAACATGTTTCCACCTGTCCCCAAATGCTTATTATTCTACTACCCCAAAAGATTAACAACTGCAAGATTTTTTAAAAAAATTACTGAAAGGAACAATTTACAGGGGGCGGGGGAATGTCATCAGTTAAAAATAGCTGGAGTTAGGATAGGTCTACTAAAATATATATACATGGTACCTCTATATAAAAGCCAAGTTCAAAATTTAAAGGAGTCATAAAAGGAGTCATTTTTAAGTCGAATACAGCTGAGTTTTATATTTAATTGTGCTCTCTTGCTTTCCAAAATAATTTGCTTTGTGTATGTTAGGACAAAAGATTTCTGTGTATGGTTGAGCAGAGGTTAATCATGCATAGAGGCAGCTGCACCAGACCCAAAGAACAGACCTTGGGTGAACGGAGAGACTGATGCTGTCTGAATAAATCAGTACCTGTATATTTCCTATATAAAAAAGAGTCTCACTTAAAGATTAAAGAATCTAGCTCCCCCCCTTGCCACATCCATCTTTTTCCCACCACAGGACAGCAGCCTCCCACCAATAAAGCGCTCTCCATAAGATTTAATCGGGCCTTCCTTAAGTGGACCAGGAGCCTTGCAGATGGGTTAAAGTGAGAATTCTTCTTTGTGGAATCTTATGGGTCTGAAAACTGACTTTTCTCCTTACTCCATAATAAAATTTACCATCTTTATATATAAAATATCTAAGAGAATTCAATATTTACAAAGAGAATTTTTTTTCCATTTCTGAATCTACACTTAGGAAAAAAAAAAAACGAAGAAGAAGGTATACAGGAAGAACAGCATAAAATACACTACTGAAAAAGCACACGAGAAACCACCCCATGGAGGCAATTAACAACCGATGAAAGTTGCAAAGATGACAATTTAGTGTTAAGCTTTTCTGTGATCATGCTGATAAAAGCCTATGACACTGAGGAACAAGAAAGATTGCATTCTGGAGTAGATGCTGATCTACATTATTCTTTATATTGTGTAAACCTAACCTTTCAGAAAAACTTTTTTTTTTTTTTTTTTTTTTTTTTTTTTTTTTTTTTTTTTTGGGGAGGGGGGGGGGAAATAAAAGGATATTGCACTTCCCGAATAAGGTGAGATTTCGGACATGTCTTGCAGATCGCCACACTCAGACTTTATGAGCGACAAGGAGAGCCCTTCGGCGGTGCTGGGTGGGTGTGCTGGTGAACAAGGATGGTGGCTCAGATGGTGGGATGACATCTTGGTCCTCAGACTCGTCGTATCCCTAGTTAAGTCTAAGGATTCAGGAGAGGCTCTGTCTTTTCCAGAGAAGGAGCCAGAGGGAGCACCTAATGGACTCTGAAATGGGTAGGCCATCAAGGGAAGGGGAAAGGGGTGGCGGAAGGTGGAGGTGGTGAAGCCTGCGGTGGCAGAGAGAGGTGACTGGTGCAGGGGCTGGTGGTGGCCGCCAGCGGCCGGGCCGGAGGCAGACTGGTCAGATGAGTTTTTGCGGACAACCAGGGGCAGTGCTTCTGTCTGGTCTGTGGAACTGGGCATCTGCACGTTGCCAAAGGTGTCCAGGGGGTTCGGAATGATGACGTCACCAAAGCACTGCAGGCGCTGGTTGGCGGTGTGGAAATTGTGATTTTCCCCGTTGACTGCAAATCTGGCCTGGGGGATCTGGAGAGGTGGGAAGACCTGAGGAACCTGGCGGGAAGGCTTGGCCGAAAATACCTTGACCACAGTGTCCACAACTTGTGACATGGCAGTGTTCAGTTCTTGTTTCAAGGTCTCCGCCAAATGTTTGCCTTCTGGTTGTAAGGAGTTTGGCCCGTGGTCTCTTTCTTTGTTGTTGCCTTCTCGCTTGGGCTTGTTTTCAGCCAGCTCCTGCTCTCGGATCAGGGCTCGAGCCCGGTCGATGAACTGACCTGGGTCGAGCTCACACATCTCGTTGTCGGACCTCCCAACCGAGTCCTGGGCCCGCGCCTCCAGGATCTCGGAGCGCATGCTGTCTTCAGACAGGTTACCATCTTCATCATTTTCAGAATCAGTGCTGTCATAGATTTGGTAGAACTTTTCCTGCAGCTGGCGCAGCTGTTTCTGCATGTCCTCCAGCTGCTGTTTCAGCTGTCGGCGCTCCTCTCGCTTCTGTTCTTTTCGGGCTGAAACCAGCTGCTGGAAACTCTGTTGCTGCTGCTGGGGCAGCTTTTGCTTGCGTTTGTTTTCTCTGTAACTTTCTCGGGGACTCACAGACTGCGGGGCCATCTCTCTTTCATTTTCATTGCCCCTTAATGCCACACTGGGGGAATGGCTCATACCCCGAATTATATTCTCAACCCGGGCACGCTTTGCTCTCAGGTGCTCATCACATAAGCGATCCATATCAAACTGGCTCATAGTAGGCCTGCCAAAAGGGGAAAGACACTCTGGGGGGCTGTCTCTTGAAGAGTTGCTGCATATATCCTCCTGATGTACTTCGGAGCCTGTACTAGAGAGACCGCTGGCTTGGAAACTGGGCTCCGTGCCACCATTTTTGTTCATGTTATTTTTCAACAGCTGGGAAATTATGGTTGCTCCTGGAAAAGGCATCATGGCATCTTCATACGAGTTCGCCCTCTTCAGCAGCTTGCGGAGTACATTTGACTTTTCCCCATCTGCATGCTGCACCACTGAATACTCAACATCCTGCTCAGAACCTTGGGGATTCATGGCACTAAAAAACGTTGCTCTTGCCTTAGCAAAAAATGCAGATGCTGTCCCTACCGTCCTTTTCACTCCAATGTCAACTCTTCTCCTCTTGGTTTGCCGGCTTAAGAGGGCTGTGCTGTCATGGTCAGGCATCACTGGACGGTTATTGTGCCATCTTCAAAAGCTCGTCAGCTGGGCACAGCTCAAGAATCCCGGGACCCTGGCCAACAGAACAAAAGGACTGATGAATCATTTTCTTTAAATTTCTCCAAATTTCCTGACCTCAATCCTGAATCAAATGCAAAATGCATAGGCTCTGGGATTTATGGCACATTACAATTATTGCAATTTATTATGCACTCTGCTTGAAATGAAACATTTTTAAATATTTCTGCTCCACTGGTTTAAGATGGATTAAGATTAAAAAAAAAAAAAAAGCAAAAACTGCTTAAGCACCAGTAATATGATTCTCTTTCACAAATGCCTAAAATGATACTGTTTATCTTCAGAAGAAACAGTAGATTATAAGAACACAGCCTCTGACAACCAATTGATTAAATTTTGGGCATTGAGATTCATATTATGAAAGAAGATGAAAGTGGTCTATACTTAAGAAATAAGGTTAGGTTTTGAGACTGTGTGAAATTGGGATGAAAAATTCCATTTCTGCATTAAAACTATTGTGGTTTTAATGCTACTGAAGGAAAAAGACTCTAAAATAAATGCAAATATTTTACACACACCCTTTATTACTGAAGTTTAAAATATTTTTGTCATATGTGAAATGTGAAGAACATCCCAATCAGCATCTTTCAAACATAAATGGCTAACTTAGCATTGAAAGAAATGCACAAATACTCATTTTACAAGTCTGCTTATTTAGCATATTATGCATTTTTATTAGTGAAATCATATGTGAAGATGGTATCTGTGGCTATATCTTTCTATAACCAAGAATATTTATAAATTTTCACAATGTCCTTTTTAATAACTTTAATTATTAGAAAGTTGGGTTCTGCAAAAGAAAAATGTCACTTTTGAAAAATCAATATGTGGCACAATAAACTATGGACTAGGCAAAGTACATCTTTAGTATAGTTTTCTTCTGTCAAAATCTGCCCAAATTGTACTTAAAACACCTAAAGAAATGGTTTAACATACTCCATTTGTGAATCTTATTTCCTATGCCAAGTAACAGGAAAGGAAAAAAAAATTAAAACAGAAAAAAAAATGACTGATTGAAGATATAGAAAGAAAGAAAATAACATCAATCAAATTGTGAGAAAGGGAAATAGGTTCTTTGTATATGAACTTCCGTTGTTTCTTGGGGACACAATATAAAATGGGATCATCCTTGCTTGCATTTTATAAAAGGCACTTGACATATTGTGAGACTTATTAACTAGCAATGCTAACCCCAAATTTTATGTACATGCGAAATGTCACATCTTTTTGTTTACACTTAGCATTTTTTGAAGAAAATGAAAATATTTTTTTCATGCTGGATTTATCTGATATTGAACTTCACGTTTGCTTAACAGAGCACATCTTCACAATAACAGGGTCTATTGCCAAAGGCAGCGTGCAGAGTGTTTGGAACAGCTCCCATCTCTTTCGGTTCACCTGTAAAAACATCTACGTGCTCCCTAGGACTGCATCTGTGGCTAGTTTTAAAGAATGACTATCCATGCAAATAGGCATAATTTCAGCATGAAATAACCTGCAAAAATCAAGAAAATGCTCAATGCTTACATGGTAACAATATGTATTCTTTTTTTTTTTTTAATGCAACAAAGATTTCATCATGAAGCTTTTGGTGTACATGAAGATAAACTTCTTTAAAAGAATCTGCTTTAGGGTAACCATGAAAGCAAGATGATGTTTCTTTCTATATATTTTTGTACACTTGAGGATGAAATACTTTTTATATGCTTCAGGATAAAATTTTCTGAACTTGGGATGAAGACATCTCAATAACTATAATACTGGGCTGAAGACTAAATTCAGAGTAATTGAGACTCCTCACACATTAATAATGAAATTGGTTTCAGGAATACAAAAACACAGTGACAAATATTTCACTAAAATATTAGACATGATAAATCAGGTGTGGGCTGTCAGGTAAGAGAAAGAACAAGAAAAAGGCTGGATTATTAGTCACAGGAACACTTGGAAATGTGTGGGGGGGGGGGTTACAAAGAAAATTCTTTTGGGCATATATCAGCTTTCCAGAAATAGAGCTCACTGACATTATTTTAAAATTTTACCTCTTTTCTTTCTGTGTGCAAATCCTTTTCTTTTTAATATCACCTGCAAAGCACACGGCTATCCAATCAAATACTGAACAAACTTCCTGCAGCATTTTCTCTCCCTGTTCACCTTAACACCCAAACTGGACTTTCCTGCCCATCTTACTACTAGAAGATCACCTCTGATGCAGAGCCAGTTTCATTGATGTGCACAAGGTCAACCCCAGGCATCCTCCTTTTCCAAACTGCAATTTACCTGTATCATCTGCACGTCCTCTCATCCAGCCTAGGTATCAACAGCTGCATCCCTGCCTCATGCCAGAGCCAAGAGGAGGGCCCTGCTCTTTCTAAGGTGGAGAGACATGATACTTTCATCTTCAGTGGAGAATAAGTGTTAATTAAACATGCTCATCCAGTCTGCTAAGAACAAGATAATCCTATAACTCTCTTCAAATTCACCAAACTAAACTGATTTTTTTTTTGAAATTATCTTTCAATTGCTTCATATTTTAAAATTAAATCATGGTTCCTTTCTATTTTGGGCTAATAAAATTTAAACACTTTGGGGGTTTTATTGTAAAATGTCTAGCTGAGACATAATACACAGAACAAAACAAATGAGAAAAAGTAGAGAAAATGATTTAATCCAGAAAGACATCATATTAATAGGAACAAATAAATATATATACCATAAAATTTAGACCTAAACTTAAAAATAAAGATAGAGTGATAGTATACATTGGGACCATAACCCATGGAGGCTATAGGCAAGATAAATAATAACTGGCTGACAGTACTTTAATAATATCATGTTTCACAAACAAGACACACACAGACACACACACACACACACACACACACACACACAGACTGATATGTTCACCACATAAGAAAATGCTCTATCAAATGACCATAATGTAAACTAAATCACTTGAAAACATTTTTTCTAAGTGTTTCCATGGTTTTCCAATTCAGAATTTAAAGGATGCTATGGAATGACTTTATCATGAATGTTGTCTTCTTTAAGATTTTCAAAAAGTCCTAAATTTCTCAAAATATGTACTAAGCCATAATGTTTCAGCTATGATTATAATTGATTCTCACAATTTTTAAAGGTTATTTCTGATTTAACTAGGCAATATGAAATCTTTTGATCAGCACTGGTAACTATCAATATCAGCAAGAATAAAAAAATACTGATGTAGACTTTGAACCCAAATTATTATTGATCAAATACACATACTCTATTCCTATAAAGTCCTCTTTAACTACTATGAAAAGCTATATAGAATTTTTAAATTATTGAATATTTTGTTGCATCAGTTGGCATCTAATCTACACAAATGCTTTAATAACTCCCATGCAACAGATATCTTAACATAGCAGATTCTTCCCAGAAAGAGATAAGAACAGACAACAGATAAGAACAGATTTTAACTGTTCCAAAAGATTTTTCATTAAAATTGGAATTATCTGACATTCTATTTAAAAGAGAGAGTTCTAAGAATTCTGATTGACTTAATGTTAGTACAGAAGAATTTTCAGTAAAGAATTTCAAAGGAATATTGCAATATGAAGCAGAAAGTAGCTCAGTGCTCCACTCTAATAAAGAAGCTATTTTGGGGAAGGGGATGCAACTTTTACTGCATCTATCTGGAGTCCAGATTCTGGACAAAGAAGTGTTTCATTATGGTAATTATCCAGATAGTTCAGACAAATCTTTTATGAGACAGGGAGAATATAAGGTTGGCATGGCTTCCTGCTTGGATTTAGATTATCTGTCTTTGTTGATAAAATTATTTGGAAAAATTGCTTACATTTTAGTTCTTTTAGAAAGTCATCTTTGAATGGATCTCCAATCTACTTGGGTTAACCTGGTTATGAAATGTTAAGTGGAATATCATTAACAAAGACTCTTTTTAATCAATCTGAAAATCAGTAATTCAAGGGGGAAAATAATCAGATGATTTGATTTAGGTACTTCCCCCATCCCATATCACTAAGCTGCTCCTTTCTTTGTATTCAAGAGTTCATATCTGCTATTTAACAACTTTTCCTTTAGATACATTTCTTATTGTCAGGTAAGAAAACCTTTGATTTTTATTTTGAAGAACCCAGTTGGCATAAGTTAATTCTTCCATTAACTAAGAATGTATTGAAAGGGTTTAAATTTTCCTATCATGATAGAGTTCTCAAATCGTAATCATTTCATTTATGATTCTATTAAAAATTCTATAATTTTTCACCTGCAAAATGAACACAGAACACTTTCTGAGACATGCCCAAATTATAAATCTCTACTTATTTAAAAAGTAATAATTCACCACGTTGGGTAAATAAAAGAGTATGAAAAATAATCTTAAGAAAATACACTTTTAGTTTTTCCTTTTTGCAGAAATTTGGGATACTCTAAACATCTAAGCTTTGAGGCTTTAGATACATTAGGAAAAAAGGCTTGAGAAATTCTTCTTATATATCCCTTCCAATTTATACAAACAATTAGAATACTATATTAACACATCATTCAGAATCCACTTTCATACTATAATATCAATAACATTTTACAATTTCCTTTTTGTCCTAAATATAAAAAGTTTCATATTAACATTGAAAATTTGAGCTAATTCCTGAAATGATATAGGAAATTGATGGAAAAGAAGGCCTTTTGAATTTGAACAACTAAAGAATAAGTCTGGCAACTTATGAATTAAGCTAGCTTGGGTTTTAAGATTGCATGTGCTGTTTATAGAAGAGTGATGCTAGGAAATAAAGTGAGAACAAAGATACATGTTATGTATGCATGACTTTCCCCCCACCACAAAGTAGTGATTAAACTAAATAGAATTCTGCATAATGGACACATAAAATATCAATAAGTGCCAAGCACAGATAATCCCTATTAAAAATGAAGTAAATGAACATAGCCATAGATGACATTTTAATTACAAAAGAACTTCAAAAGCATCTAAGGAAAGTATGGAGGGGGTGGCTTTGATGCTTAAGTTTAAAGAACAAATGACACATACTATCTTATTTTCATGGAAACAATGTTAATCACCCAAACAACACAACAAGCCAAGAAAAACCATTTATCATCTAACCTATTTCTATGCAACTTAATTTAAAGAAGGAGCCTGTTTAACGCAAAAATTTAAAAGGTCAAATTTTAAGAATCCACAGAGTCCTCACATTGAATTCCCCAAATCCTCCCTCACACATCAATCTTCGGTCCTTAAATTAATCTATTTACCATTATATAAACATATCCATGAGTAGGTTAACTAGAACACTCTCCTTTTTCTTCCTCACCACACACAGTCTATTTCATTTTGAAAATACTCAGAAGTTCTTGCAAGCAACTCTTCATAGAACTGGCCGCCTGAATCTTGCATCAAATAGAAAAGCACAGTTACCTCTCATGTACTTGAGATTTTTCTTCTCCATCAAAGTCATATCTAGGACATCTGGCACATATCTGGTACAATGACAAGTGAATTCTACTTTATGACAGTATTTAACATATGACTTAAAAGTTTATTCACATACCTATTCTTTCTGGACAGGGAGAAAGCATGCTAAAAAGATAAGCTTTAACACCAGTAACACTTTCAAACTGACGTTGGTATTTTTGGCAGTTACACATACCCATCTCTGTCCAACACACACACACACACACACACACACACAAAGGACTTCTCTCTCTCTCTCTCTGCCAAGCACAGACCTGGGAGACAGGCATAAACTGGAGGGAAGCAAAGGGAAAGTCAATCTCTCTCCACCTGCTGCCTGAAGTGGGGGTGCTTTTGGCCACTGGCAGACAGAAGCCTGAAACATGGCCTCAGCAGCAGCCTGCCAACGTCCTTAAGAAAAATAAACAAATACATACAGACTTGCCCCCATCCCTTCCCAAAGAACTCACAAGTCAGGGCTAAAAACACAACAACAGCCCAATTCCCATTAGCCCAGACAATCCTATTAACCAGGACGACCATAAATTCATAAACCTCTACAACCCTCAAGCAAGCCTTGTGGTCTGGAACACACAGACACACAGACACAGAGGAAATTTGCACCTGTCTTTCTTGACACAACACACCTGTCAGGCCCTGCCCATGCGCACTCTGCTAATAGACTTCTGCCTACCTAGTTTAGGAAAGAAAATGTATGTGTGTGGGGGTGGGGGGGTATTATTATTATTATTTTGGTAAGGGAGGGCATGAGTGTGGGGGAGAGAGGGAGGGGGTAGGGGAAAGAAAAGAAAAAAAAAAAGAGAGAGACTCTTCTAGCCTTGACTTTGAGAGGAGGCCACCTTGTACTGTTTTTATAAGCTTAAGGAGACAACACAGACCTTCTTGGAAAAATAAAAACAAGCAGGTGAGTTCCCAGCCTTCCCCCAGGCGGAGTAGGGCTCTGGGTTGCCAAGAACAGCAGTTTCACACTCCAACCTGCATCCTTGGGCTATTTAAGACTATCGCCCAACCCCTCCTTCTGTTTCTGCTCTCTGCCTGGAGGACTCTCCACTTCCGAAGAAGCTGGGAAGGGGCGGGAGACCAGTGAGTGTGGAAAGCTACTCCCCCCTTACTCCCACCCCCATCGCTCCCTCCACCAACGCTCAGTGTTAGCAGGAGGACTAACTGGATGTCACACTAGAAGAGCCAACAACTTGCTAAACTGGACTCTGGATGATATCTCCCGCCCCCCCCCAAAACTTGCCCCCCTCCCTGACCCCTCTAGTCTGCTCGGGCAAGACAGCAGCTCTTCCCCCTTCTTCCCGCCCTCCTCACTATTCTTCCCAGCAACAATTACTCGCACCTCTCCTCTCCTCCCTCCATAAGTCCTCCGAACTGGGGAAAAAACAGTAGGTACCACCCAGACAAGACCAGACGGAAGCGGCTCAACACCATAGAATGCCAGAGATGGCCGTGAGATTCTTCGCCTCGGACATCCGCTGCCCAAGAACACCCCTAAGCCCACCCCGGCCACAATCCGATCTCCGCGGCGTTCAGGCCCCACTCCCTCCACCACACGACCCCGGAGGGCTCCAGGTGCCGCCTTACCCTACTCAACTTGCCCCAGCTCTGGGCTCAGGAGAGGGGCGCCGCTCGGGTTTCCCCGGACCCATCACTCCACCGCTCCAACCCCGATTTCAACATTTCAGCGTCGACAGCGTTTTGAGAGGAAAGTAACAGAGCGCCCCCCTCCTCCCTTTCTCCTCCTCCCCACTCCCGGCCCTCTGCTGGGGTTAAAAAGGAGAAGTGAAAGGTATGCAAATGACAAGCAAATTGCAAGAGCCGGGAAGAAAGGCAGCTATAATAAACAAGACAAAGGGAGAGGACGTGGGGACTAGCCCCGGAGTTTTAAACCCCGGGAGATGGGAAAGATGAGGCTTGGCGGAAAAGCGGAGATCCAGACGAACAAAAAGCGACCCGGTCCCCCTCGCGCGGTCCTCTTTCCCGAGAATAGAGGCCAAGAGAAAGAAGGAAAGGAAGCCAACGCCTCCTCGCACCCCAGAAACAGTACACAAAAGGTGACAAGATCAGCGACAAGTCCAGCCACATCAGCCTCCCCCATCGCCAACACCACCACCACCACCCAGCCACCAGCAGGAAAGAGAAAGAAATAAAAGCCAAGCGGATCACTTACTCTTAGGAACTGGGAGGAGCGGGGCGCTGAGTTCCACTGAGGCTCCTGCTTAGAAACTGTTTAGAGGCTATTTTATTATGATTCATTTAAATAACACCACATTCTCCTGGAAAAAAAAATGTTTACACGGGTATGAGTAATGGGAGGCTCTTTTCTTTCCTTCTCATTCAAGAACAAGCCAGTGCAAGTGATTCTGGAAAAGGGGAGGGGACTCACGAGGGAGAGAAGATACTTACGCGGTGCAGAGAGCAGTGGGACCGAGTCTCTCTCTCTCTCTCTCTCTCTCTCTCTCTCTCTCTCTCTCTCTCTTTGCCGGCTGAGAGAGGAAAACACGCGCGCGCACACACGGTGATATCTTGCGGGTGATGAATATGATAATTGGACAAGGGACGGTGAGTCTGTGCGAGAGCGAGCGAGCGGGCGAGTGGGAGAGGGAGAGGGGAGAGAGAGAGGGAGGGCGGGGAGGGGAGAGGAGAGCTGGAGAGAAGGGGCGAGAGGAGGAGAGGAGTGGAAGGAAGCGGAGAAAAAAAGAAAATGAGAGGAGAAAAGGGAAGAGGAGAAAGCAGGGAGAGGAGAAGAGGAGAGAAGAAGAGAGAAGAAAGCAGAAAAGAAGAGGGAAGAAGAGAAGAGGAGCGAAGCAGAGAGGGAGCAGGCGGACCCGGCGAGAGCTCTTTTGCGCCGCTCTGCTTTCCCCGGCTGCAATGGTGTATTATTTCAGAGCGCTCCCTCAGCTGAGGGCTCCGCTCCACAACAAGATTTACTTTAAGACACAGCTGAAGGAAACAGGAAGACTGCACGTCACAGTCTGACTGACGTACCCGGCCCCAGCACCCAATCGCGAGGCGCCTTCGGATTCAAGGGGGGATAGCGAGGCAAGAGAACTTGGGAGGAAAAAAAATATATA